TTTCTTTTTTTTTTTGGGGGGGGGGGGGGGGGGGGTCCGCAAGGTGTACACGGTAGGTCCGGACTATGGGCACGCCGAGGCGAGAAAGTCGCCGACTTTGGACGGCAAGGTCAACAGAAACGCCGAAGGAAAAGAGATCAGGTGAGGGAGTGAGTGAGGCAGACAATGACAAACATACAACCAAACCCTTATCCTTATCTTAACTTTGGACGGCCAGGCCAACATAAATGTCGAAGGAAAAGAGATCAGCATAGCTTACGGAGTGAGTGAGACGGGGTAAGACACAAAACCGCCGTAAGTAGTATGTGCTGCGTACCGTGTACTGGGAGGGGGCTGGGACAGACAGGAAGAGGGCAGAAAGAGGGGAGAAACAGTATGTCTGAGGGAGGGAGAGAGAGAGAAACAGACAGACAGACAGACAGACAGACAGACAGACAGAAGAGAGGGGGCGGAGATGGAGGTGTGGAAGGAGGAGGAGGGAGTCCCGACAAGGTCGACAGCTGCTCCGAGTCGAATCGATTCGGTGGGGCTTGAGGCACATTCCCAGGGTGCGTGCCGAAAGGGATCTAGCTGCTTGCGGAGGAAGGGAGGATACTATAGCGGCCTCGCACTTCCATACCAGGGAAATCGCGGTGTCCCGTTCATGCGCCGGGTTGTGACGCGGCGGGGCGGGCGGGAAGGGGGGACATTATCCCTCACTGGTGGGGTAAATGTATTATTGATGCGCATCCTCCGATCGTTTCGGTTGTTTCTTTGTCTGAAAAAAAGATAAAAAAAATTGTCTCAAAAAAAGACAAAAATCTTATCTCTGTCTATCAGCTTGTGGTATTATTTTGTTAATTGTTTTTAAGGTATTTGTTTATTGCGATAACGTTTTTCGTCCTGTCGATCGATACGGTTGCTGCACGATGCAGATACCCGGTGATCCTGACCTCGGAGGAGAAGGAGTACGCCCGCAAGATCACCCTGGCGTTCCGTCAGTGCGTGTGCGGGTTCGATATCTTGCGGGTGCAGGGGAGAAGCTTTGTCTGCGACGTCAACGGCTGGAGTTTCGTCAAGAACAGCAGAAAGTGAGAGGAGGAGAGAAAGAAGAATCAGTGCCTAACGTACGCTGCTGCTGCTGCTGCTATTGCTGTTGTTGTTGTTCTTGCAGTGAAAATTGCCTCGGACCTCCACTAATTAGTTGTTGTCATGCTTGTATTTTTGAAATATTGAATATGAACAAACACACGCAGCGTTTTTTATTTTTATATAAACCGGCACTGCCCTACGATTTGTTTAGGGAAACAACGAAGAGGAATCGGCTCGAGAGACAAAAAAGTAAAAACCGTACAGCGGCAGAGCTGGCCGTTTTCACTTCTCTTTCTAAGTATACATGTTTTTGGACTCTTTTTTTTTATTTGTTTTCTATCTCGACATTTTGAATATATATATTTTTTATTCTCGACGTCCTTTTTTTCTACCTAACCCATCAGGTACGTGGACGACTGCGCGATGCTCCTCCAAGAGTTCATCGATGCGGCGGTCAAGCCCAGCCGACGTACCAAGCTATTCTCGACAGAGGCTCCCCTCATAAAGTACCAGTCGATCAACATGGCGCAGCACCCGCACCAGCAGCACCAGCACCAGCAGCACCAGCAGCAGGATCAATATCAGCCGCAGCAGCCGCTGCAGCCGCTGCAGCAGCCGCTCATGCCTTCCAGTGGGGGGAGACACGTCGACAATCTCTCGCGGATAAAGTAAGCGAGTGCGGGGGGTGCACGAGGTTTCGGGGGGGGGGGGGGGGGGGGGGG